GGATTTGGAGATACACTGCGCACTCTACCACTAGGCAAGCCATTTGTGGTGGATTCTGCTGACCCTAAAGAGTGGGCCAAGGCAATTGAAGCAATAAGTCTGAAAGACAGATCAAAGCGACTGCAAGAGATTAAAGCACTGCGAACATCTTATGAAGAGAAGTTCAGCTGGAAGGAACAGTGTGAAGCCCTTGTTGAGAAGATGAGGAGTTTGGTTAATGGTAAGGCTTTGATTTAAATAAATTTACATTAGTAAGATTCACCGGATTTGTTTTGTGGTGTTGTTTTCTCCTGTTCATATCTGTTTCACGAGATATCCACAGAATGATGCAGTAATTGTCTGTAGCCCTTTTATCAAGTTTTATAGAACAATGTTTACTTTAAGTGGATCCAGGTATGGTTCAAAGTCAGGGTGTGAGGGTGATGGGGATCCTAGTAAAGATATAACGCCTTTTTTCTCTACAAAAAGGGGCCCCTGTGAAAAGCTCAATTAGTTTTTTAGTTCTTTACCAAGTGTTTTGACAAGAGAAATTGTACTTTCCAGTCTGGTGGGTCCAGACATATTCCAAAACTGGGTTGGGGCATGTTGGGGGGTCAAAGTGAAGTTGCCTTGTCTTCCTATTAAAGGGGAGCATGCAGAGAAGCTGGTGGGGTGTGGGGACAGATGGATTAATTTGATTAATTCTTTTTCATAGCTTCAGAAAAACCTGTAAGACATGAAGCATATTTCACAAGTCAGTGTAGAGACTCAGCAGAGTCTGCAGCAAGACAGATCACAATTGAATCTCCACTACCCCCAGGTAAACATGTAGCAACAACACTAGGATGTAGCAATATTTTCCGGAATAACAGTGTGAACATGGAACGAAACAGGGGGAGGCATTACTCCCAGAAATGAGCTATATGGGGGTGTGGGAGTCAAAGGGCTTGATTTTTGAGCTTTTTTGGTCTGAAAGTTTTTCAGATTTTGCCTCGTTGCTCTAGATACCGTAAATTTTTTACTCAGAATTGGTAATTGATTTGTATACTTCTTTTACATAGAGAACTTGAAAGCGTATTTCCAGGACCATATCATAAATATCTTTCCATGGGGCTGTGCATATGAGACTACACACTGTCATTTTTGGTTTCAAATAGGATTTGAAGTAACAAATGGCACGTTCCATCCAGGCCAAAGGTTTGAGTGAGTACCCCTTGTGCAATAACCTTAATTTACATATTTTTTCTTTTAGATCTGCTTGGGCAAATGTTCATGAATCTTCAGCAAATGCAATGCGATGTAAGCAAGGTCAACAGTAATACTGATCTATCAGCAGAGTTGGAGAAGATTGCATCAGACAAAGGCTTTGTGATTTCTGACAATGAAGGGTCAGGGAACTGCATGTTTCATGCGCTGTCTGAACAACTGAACCTTGTGAAAGGAATTGAGATCTCACATGGAGAATTAAGACAATCCATAGTGCAGTACCTCAGAAAGAACCCAAAACTGGTAAGTTTAGTGTTTTATTTTGTTGTTTCGGATTGAAATATCTTTAAACAATAATTTGGGGCTTGGGAAAAATAATGCTCCAAGTGATCAGACTCCAGCATTTGTGTCAGCATTTGAATTGGACTTGCAGTCCGATAAGATGGCAGAAAACTGGACATTACCATGAACCTGTAGGGATTAGTTGCCTTAAAATAATTTGTTGTGAAACAAGATCTCAATACTTGGTTCTCCATTATACATAATTTTAACTTTAGGGAGGGACATTTCTGCCATCACACGTATATGTGTGTACTGACCTCGTTAAAAGTTAGCCTTTTTATTCTCCCTTCTTACAGCCTGATGGAACAGATTTGTTTAACTTCATCAATGGATATCAGTCATGGGCTGATTATCTTACAAACATGGAGCAAGATGGCACATGGGGCGATCACGTGATTCTGTATGCAACTGCAAACCACTATAAAACCTACATTGACGTGATCAGCAGTCAGTCAAATCACCATGACCTTACTATCAGGCCTGATGGTCATGTGATCAGCACCGACCCACTTGTGTTAGGCCATGTTCATGAAGTCCACTACGTCAGCCTGCAACCCAAACAAGGTGAGACTTTGGACAACACACTGAGTTATATGACAGTTTATTAGTGATGTATATGATTGCAGCCCATACAAGGTAAAACGTACTATCTCAGACTGTTGACATGTCTGTTTGTCATGTATATAATTTTCTATATTTCTCCTGGGTATGTAAACTGTCCCTCTTTTTCAGACATTTATAATATTATTTTTTTCATGATTGTAAACAAATTTGTATCTCTCCTAGGAATGCAAATTACTTGGTTTATTCAAGAGAATATAATTAATTAATTTAACAAATCAAACCATAAGTCATGTAAAATACTAATTTATGATTAGTGTTTTATATGACTGTGTACATATCTGTTTGTCATGTATATCATTTTCTTGTTTTTTCAAGAGAAATTATCTTTAATTAATTTAACAAATAAAGCCAAAGGCTTGTAAAACACTAATTTATGATTTTGATTGAACACACTTGAAATAGTAGAACATGGTTTTCTGATTGCTACATGGCTTTTCAGCTGATCAGATCATGCAACTAAGGTCAAGAAAAAATATTGATAGAATACTGTTTATATTATAACAGGGACTATGACAAAATTGTGAGTAGATTGAAATAAGTTTGGAAGATGTAGACCTTTTATCCTCCACTGTGTTGCATAATATTATGAATCATCAGGTTTTTCTTATTTTCTATAATTCTCACCAAACTGCTTAAGGGAGGTTACTTGCACTCTCATCATCGTAGAATGATTTAATGCCTGCCTTCATGTGGACCTGAACAACAATTCAAGAGCTGCTACTAGTATCTGATTATTCAGTTTTGTTTTTAATCTCTTTGCAGGTTTGCAGAGCAAGTCTGATTAGAATCAAATTTTGACAATAAAGCAACTTGTGACTTAGCTTCAAACTTCAATTTAGAAAGCATCAAGGAATTGCAAGATAGTAGAACTACAAAGATTGGTAGTAAATAGATTTCATAGTAATAAGCCAAAGGAAAGATTGTTCAATGAATTGCTGGTGAACATGAGTGTTCTGTTTAGTGGCAACATCACAAGGTAACACAAGAACTTCATACATGCAAGCATTGGTGCTAACAAAATGTAAGTTGTTTTATGATTATGTTTATTTTATGACGTGCAAGACCTCAACAAACATGGAACAGTGAGTAGGGTAGCAGTGTGCACTTGTTGACAAAATGGCGGCTGCTTCTTTGTGTTTTTGAGGCGTCTGTGAAAAGGATTTAGATACATTTTAGAACAACTTGTAGATTTATACTACAGTAAAATAATTAGATTGTTTGCTCTCGAATACTGTGCGTGATAGTTCACTTGGACTGTGCCCTTGTCAACTATCATGCAATAGACATCTTCAGCCCATAATCTACCGGTAATTGTTTCATAGAAACACAAGTGAAAGATTAGGAGAGTACTTTTTTCAGCTCTTTCAATCTTTCATGAGTTTTCTATAGCTCAATAGAAACATAGATAAATTTTTTTCTATTTCCTGTTGAAAACTCAGCAATAAAAAGAAAGGNACAAAGATTGGTAGTAAATAGATTTCATAGTAATAAGCCAAAGGAAAGATTGTTCAATGAATTGCTGGTGAACATGAGTGTTCTGTTTAGTGGCAACATCACAAGGTAACACGAACTTCATACTTGCAAGTGCTGATGGTAACAAAATGTAAGTTGTTTTATGATTATTTTTATTTTATGACATGCAAGACCTGAACGAACATTCAACAAAAAAATTTTGTTTCTATCAAGTGTCGATATACGAGTGTCCTATCACGAATGCCATTCTCTGATTGGCTATGCTACTCACTATCTATTAAGTTGTAGATAGTGAATAGCATAGCAGTGTGCGCTTGTTGACAAAATGGCGGCTGCTTCTTTGTGTTTCTGAGGTGTCTATGAAAAGGATTTAGATACATTTTAGAACAACTTGTAGATTTATATCAAAATAATTAGATTGTTCGCTCTCAAATACTATGCGTGATAGTTCACGTGGACTGTGCCCTCGTCAACTATCATGCAACAGAAATCTCAAGCCCATAATCTAATTGTTTAATAGAAACACTAGTGAAAAATAAGGAGAGTGCTTTTTTGAGTTCTTACAGTCTTTCACGGGTTTTCTAAAGCTCGATAGAAACAGCAACAATTTTTTTCTATTTCCTGTTGAAAACACAGCAATAAAAAGAAAAGATACTCCCTCATTTATTTTGTTAATCTAAATGTAAATTCTCTTTTCTTGTGCCACTGTTTTCGTGTGAGGCCTGGGGAGGAGTGAGACTCTCATATAAAAAAGACAGGGATGCTCATCAGAAATTTTGAAAAGAATCCCTAAGAGGTACAGGTCTACACACATACTGTTTTCTGCCAGGCCTGGTTTCGAATCTTCTTCTGTATTTTCACAACCTTTTTTCATTTTTCTCCAGTTTTACAGGATTTCCAGTTACAAGCAGCATTTCCAGCTCATTCAGTTCACCAATATTGTCAGGCAATGTAGTTAACTGGTTATCACTCAACAACAGTACCCAGAGTTTATTGAGATGTTTAAATGATGTGTGATGATGAAACTGTCAACCTGATTTTACCCATATCCAATGCTATGGGCTCATTCAATTTGCCAGTCTCCACTGGTTGTTACTTAAGTCCAGTCTCCAGTAATCCATTCTCACATTCAGCCTGTCCAGCTCCTTCAGTTTACCAATCTCGTCAAGCAATGTAGTCAACTGGTTATCACTCAAGTCCAGTCTCCAGTCTCCATTTTCAAATCCAGCCATACCAGCTCCTTCAGTTCACCAATCTCATCAGGCAGTGTAGTCAACTTGTTACTACTCAAGTCCGGTATTCAAGACTATTTGGGATTTACTGAGATGTTTTATGTGTGATGATAAAACTGTCAGCTTCTTTTTACTCACATCGTGTAACACTACATACCAGCTCCTTCAGTTCACCAAGATCATCAGGCAACATAGTCAACTGGTTACTACTCNGTTACTCAGCTCAGCAATGGCTTGAAGTTCTCTCAACTGGTTCTTGTCTAATCTCAACGTTTTGAGATTTTTCAGCTTGTTAATACTTGTTGGTAATTCGTCCAGATAATTATCTGGCAAGTCAAGTTCCTCCAATTCAGTCAGGTCAGAAACAGCTTCAGGAACATTTGACAACCCTCTGTTACTAAGATGTAAAACCCTGTCTCCGATAACATTTTTCACTTCACTTCAGCAGTCTCATCAGGCACTGTAGTCAACTGGTTATCACCCAACGACAGTACCCGGAGGTCATTGAGATGTTTTATGTGTGATGATGAAACTGACAGCTCATTGTTACTCACATTTAGCCATACCAGCTCCTTCAGTTCACCAATCTCTTCAGGCAGTGTGAAAGTCAAGTGGTTATTACTCAAGTCCAGTCTCCAGTCTCCAGTCTCCAGTCTCACATCCAGCCATTCCAGCTCCTTCAGTTCACCAACATCGTCAGGCAACATAGTCAACTGGTTACTACTCAAGTACAGTCCCCTCAGTTCCTTGAAGGTAGAACAGACAACTGGTTGTTACTCACACTAAGCACGGTCAGGTTACTCAACTCAGCGATGGCTTGAGGAAGTTCTCTCAACTGGTTCTTGTCTATAAATCCCAGTGTTTTCAGATTTTTCAGCTTGTTAATACTTGTTGGTAATTCGTCCAGATAATCATCTGGCTAGTCAATTTCCTCCAATTCAGTCAGGTCAGTAATAACTTCAGGAACTTTTGACAACCCTCTGCTACTAAAATCTTGAATTTTTTTTTTAATACATTTGTAGAAATGCACTTTCTGAGCTCCTCTGCTGAAATGTTCTCTGTCCTCTACTATATTGCAACTGTTTGAATGCGACATGGAAATCTAAAATCTTAAGCACTTCCCGAAGTTAATAGTGATTTTACACATCAGAGGAATCTGGTAGAAATCACATAACAAGGCTGACCAATTTTTTGCCATTGACCAAAACTATATAGAATTGGAAGGAATTCCCAGATATTAATATTCTGAATTCATATAGCCTACAACAAGCTTTAATTAAACACAGTAATTAGATCAAGAAGACATTTTTAATACAAACGCCTGAGGTTATTGTCAGTTTCCATGGAACTATTGATCTGAGTTCATTTAAACCCGTTCAAAATCTTGATGGCTTTAACTCAAACAAACAACCTTAACTTAAATTATCTAAATTTCACTTGACTGTGCTTTATACTGTAATTATCACTCACTGTTTGACAGTTTCACTCTTTATGCTATAAATAAGCTGAGAAACTTAATTCCGGTGGAAGAAATTCTGCATGGTTTNAGTCTCTGCATTGGTTTTCATCTTCAGGAAAGAGATAGTCTGTGAGCAGGCTCACCTTTGAGTCACACGCGTGAGCGGCGAAGTGCGAGTCAGCGAGCGAGGAGTCTGGTGCGGAAAGGAAGTCAGCCTGCCTTGATCTCTGATCTCTGATCTCTGTTGTTCCCAGGATCTCTCTGTCGTCCTCCCAAGAGTGAGAGAGGGGGACCGTGGGAACGAGGTTAAACTTTGCTGCTTGCACGTGTGTTCCTCAAACGTGGGCCTGTTCGCAGGCTAGGAAAGAGAATTCCTTGTTTCATTCAAATTTCTTTTTTCAGGGATCAGTTTGTTTTTTACCCCCATGACTTTCCTAACAAATTTTTCTTTTAATCTTTAATAATAACAAAGAATACTCAATATTAGATTACGAATAGCAAATAATAAACGGATACTCATTCTGAGATTTGGATTAGAAGATTGTATATAAAGATATTTACTTTAAGAAATAAACTTGCTCAAAATGCAGCCCTATCTACGAGGGTCTCAATGGGGTTAACCGTCAGCCGTCAAACAGCCCAAAATTTAACCAAAAACCGTCAAGAAACCTCAATTTTTGCTGTAAACTGTCAAAAGAGGCAGTTCGATGTTATCCATCAAATGGTTTCAAGGTCTTTGGAATCTCACTATTTTATTGGCTCATCACGGACTTCTGGCTCTCAAAGAAATTTCAAACTTGTAAACTAGTTTATAAACTGACACTATAGTGTTTTCGTCTTTGGAGGACCAAGCGCATTGGAGCTTTCAAACAGCATTTGATCGATAGCCACAGTTAGAATAACAATTGATCTTGGCTCATTCATTATATATTTTTATAAATTATATTTTATTTAAGAAATAGAAAACATGTACCGTGTTTTTGTCGAGTTTTTTTATATATCGACTAGTGTTCTATCACAAATGGCGTTCTCTGATGAGCTTCTCCACTTACTATCTATTGCAATGTAGATAGTAGCGTAGCAGTATCAGTTGTTAACAAAATGACGGCCGCTTCTTTGCGTTGTCTAAGTATCTGTAGAGCTGATTTAGATGACGTTTGGAACAACTTGTAGATTTATAGTAGATTAATTGCTCTTGATTTCTATGCATTAAAGTTGACTGGCTCAGGCTGCGCCCTCGACAACTATCATGCATAGAAATCGAGAGTGAATAATTTAATTGTTTTAGTATAAATCTACCGTCGTTCTAAACTTTATCTAAATCCGCCTCACAAACACTTCGAAAACCTGAAGAAGCAGCCGTTATTTCGTTAACAAGGACACACTGCTACGCAACCCACTATCTATCACAGATTTTAGTTCACCACTAAATTTTTATTGGCTTAAATTGATCGTGACTGTGACGCGATAGTGTTCATCCGCAGAGAGCCATCAAATAGTTTCGCTCGCGCGCGATTAGTCTAAACGCGACATGAATATTCTCAAGCTAAAACTGGGGAATATCCGAGTGATATTCACCACTATTAAAAACCGCGCGTGTTGCGAGAAATATTTGAAGGGTGATAAACACAATGGCATCCATTTGGCGCGAAAATATGCTCAGATATTTGTCCTCGGAGATAATCTTTTCCTCAAACCTCACAGTTTTCATCGAGCTACGCTTACTTCTCGAAACAGATAGTCTCGCGGACAAATATCCGAGCTTATAATCTATCAGCTATTTTCGCTCGAGCATGATTGGGCTAAACGCGTCACGTGACCAAATATTCCCCAGCTAAAACTAGGGAATATCTGGAAACTGCGCGTGTTACAAAAAAATATTTGAAGGATAATAAACACAGTAGCCCCCATTTGACTTTGAAAATATGCTCGGATATTTGTCCTTGGACATTATCTGTTCCTCAAAGCTTACAGTTTTCCTCGAGCTACGCTCTCGGAAAACTGTTCGCTTCTTGGAACAGATAATGTCCGCGACAAATATCCGAGCATATTTCCGCGTCAAATGGAGGCTATTTATGTAGTGCTCGTCCGAGGAGAATACCCGAATGATTAGTACTCGTCCATGAAAATTTCTTTGTAAACAAGCGGTCGTATAGAAAATAAGCAATTGAAATTGTGTTAGGTTAGTTTTGTCTGTTTTCTTTTCCAAATTTTACATTTGGCTTCACGGCTTTCATCTAAACAAGTTGAAAATGATTCAATATGATATTTGAACTGGCGCGCGGAAGAAAATTTAGCGGTGAACGATAAAGATAATAGAGTGTTTATGTCTCGGAGCTATCGGTCTGATAGTTGCCTCTTGGAAATTTGATGTTCTTAAAATTACCACGTTTGCCTTCGAAGTGGAATATTTGTTTTAAGAAATCAAAGTTCTACGGGGCAACTATCAACCGATAGTTCCCTCGACAGAAACGCTCTAGTGTTTAAATAGTTGTTAAATTCACTTTGCTCGCGCAATCATTCGTTGTCAACAGCTCGTGTTGGTTCTGTGTTTTTATCGAGTTATAGAAACACGATTTTTGACCAATCAGTGCGCTTTTTTTTCTATGGGCTTCTTTCTAGAGGTCTTAGAGCATATTGGCAAACTTTCACTTTATTCCTTCCGTGAAATTCCAAGACGACCTCCAAAACACCTTAGGTAATAGTTAAGAAGAACAAGAGTTAATATTAAGTTAAACCCAAAGAAGAAATTTCCTCTTAGTAACCGTCAACCGTCAAAACTACCCCACCCCCAGTGAGACCCTCGTCTACATGTATTAATCATTTGTTAGGTTGAAAATTAGGTATAATTTACTAGTGCGGAGCTAAATATTTCCTGAAATGTTGCATTGACCAGAACTTTGGTACATAGTAAATGATAGGCCTCTCCGTTGCGCGAACAATGGAAATCAATTTATTTTTTTAGAGCAGACTTACGTAAGAGTAGAAACTCCCTCTCACTCAGAGAAATACACTTTGCCATTGTTACAATGTAAGTAATGAATTTTTCGACATGCGCTTTATCTGTTTGTTGTTTTATACTGATGGTTATTTTTTGTAGGTATACGTTTTCTAAACTTTTATTCTGAATACTAAAGACTGCTTATTTTAAGAATCGTCAATATTACAGCAAAGTGTATAATAACCGAGATAAATTATTGTAAAAGATTGTACTTAAAGGGGGTATTAATTAAGCCAGTTTCTTCTTCTCTGGGTTGTCAATGGTAAAGCGAGCCATTCGTGTTAATATGGAGTGCCCGAGATACTGGCACCACAAAGAATAGGGAGTGTGTAACAAAGCGATAATTTGTTCTCCCCTCCCCAGGGACCGTACAGAAGGTGCGTCATGTTAGCTTTTCACCTCCCCAGTTGTTTCAGGGTCTCTTCATATGAGCCTGGTCAACAGAGCTGGCTCGGTTTTTTAAATCT